CACAAGGAGTAAAAAGCTGCTTTGCAGTCTACTGGAGGAGGTAAGCAGTTCTGCAACTTGTCATGGGGTGGGTATGAGTTATCAGGGGAAGTTCTACAATAAATAAGTTCTGTAAGGGACACAGCTTTGCTATACAGTATGTTTAAAAAGCACAAATACTAGAAATTGCCCTGCTCTAGTGATAAAGCAATTCTAAGTTGCAAAAGAACAGGGAAACAAACCCCAGGATTATCCCTCAAAATAAATTATTTCCAAACTAATGTACCACATTTACTTACCTGTATTCAAAAACTTTAGTATTTTTACAAAAATTTGTTCTTGTCAATATCAAATTAAGAGATGTAAATGACATAACCTGATTAACATTTATCTCCTTTAACTACTGTCAAAGAATAGATCAACAATATAAACCTTCTCTTAGTAATTTAAATATAGTTTCAAGTCTCCAAGATACTCTGTTTGTTAGCTGGAAATAATTTACTCTATTTAAGAGAAAGGTTCAAGAACAATTTACAGTTTCATTTATTTTGAATAGGTAATATATTCACGCTTCAAAATTTAAAAAATATAAAAAACATACAATGAAAAGTTTCATTCCTCCCTTGTCCTGGAGCCCGTTAGTTCCCCTTATTGGAGGCAAACAGTATCATGGGTTTCTTGTATATGCTTCTAGAGAGTCCTCCTGCATGAAATCAACTGCATATACGTATGTTGTCCCTACCTTTGTATTTACAAATAACAGCATACTCTACATACTGTCATTGTAACTACACCACATTTTTCTCACACTCTACTGGAGATTATTTCACTAACATGGACACTGTACATAGAGAACATAATCATTACCTGCAGAGTAGTTCCCTCTATGGAGCTACCATAATTTACTTAACCTGTTGCCATTAATGGACATCTAAGTGTTTCTTAGCTACTACAAACAAGCAGCATTGGTAGCTTTAAAATAAAAAAATTAAAAAATAACACTTCAAACTACCAGCCAGGACTATGGACTCAGATAAATTATAAACTCAATGTCTGACTGTCCTGGAAAAGCTCTCAAGGGTGGCTGCCTTAACTATACCCAGTCAGCTGTCTTGGCTCATTCTTGCTGTTTGGTCTATATCATAAGCTTACTCATTTTGCTAAACGATGTCTAGGGTTCTAAACAAGTTATGTTAGTAGAATGCAAAATTATCTGATGGTTAAGTATATACCAACCTGTTATATGAGACAAGCTGACCTGCAGGTAATCCAAGGCCAAAGAATCAATTACTGCTTGTACATTGTGAGCTTCATCCTCTTGACTCCTGGGACAAGTTATGAGGTCTGGGGGGAGGAGAGGGGGGAGGGAGAAAGCTACATGATTTTGCATCTATGAGGGTCCACATTTTCATCTGTCTCTGATTAGGCTTCTAAATAAGCTCACCTACCACAAAAGTAAACTCTGCCCCAAATAAAACAGGTTTTTAAAAGTATAGATAAAGTTAATAGAGCATACGTGAATTCCACACAGAATCTTTATTGGTTGACTATTGATTGACTGAATATAGTTTAGTAAATATATGAACTCAAGAGGCCCAGTGCATGAAATTCGTGCATGGGTAGGGTCCCTAGGCCTGGCCGGCAATCAGGGCCGATTGGGGCCTTCCTTCTCCTGGCTGCTGGCTGGGGCCTTCCTTCATTCCGTGCCACCCACTGGTGGTCAGCGCACATCATAGTGAGCAGTTGAACTCCCAGTGGGTCGAACTCCGGAGGGAACAATTTGCATATTAGCCTTATATTATATAGGATGCTCTACATTAAGCACCATGCTAAAAAAAAGATAAAGAGGTCCCTAAATTCAAGGAGATGATATAATCTATAATAATAAAAGTGTAATATGCTAATTAGACCGGACATCCTTCCAGTTGCAGCTATGAGGGTCAAGGCAAACCACCGCAGCTGCGAGGGCCCAGCCCTTTGCATGAATTTCATGCATCGGGCCTCTAGTCTATAATAATAAAAGGGTAATATGCTAATTAGACTGGGCGTCCTTCCTGACGAAGCTGGGCCGGAGAGAAGCGGGACCGGGTCCCAGGTGCCTGCTGGCGGCCGGAGGAGAGAGCCTGGGTCCTGGACGGAAGCCAGTGCTGGCAGCTGGGGGAAGGAAGGCCTACTCTTGCACGAATTTTCATGCATCGGGCCTCTAGTATGATAATAAGCGAGGCAATACATGAGGGTGAGACTTGAACCAATAATTATAGGCTCCTTTCAATGAGAGAAAAAAACCCCACAACAGGTGTGAAAGGAGGCTTACTGAATGTCCAAGGATACAGTACAAATACCAATTCTTATCCATAATATTGGTTAAGAGAGAACCTGACAAATTAAGTTCCACTCAATTTTAGAACCTCTTAAGGTACATTTACAGAAAAGGTGTGACTTTCACAGAGCATTTAGCATGATTAGATTAAACAGATCTGACCAAGGCTGTTATTATGGCTTGGTCTCATAAGGTATCATTACAGAAATAAATGCAATAATTTAGAAGAAATAACATGTAGACAAAGAGAAAACTCAAGGTTTTATAAATACTATAGGCTCTAACCAAAGGCACTAGAAACTTCTGGCTCAAAATACAAACATTATTACCTCTACTTTAAAAAAAAAAGTATTTTATTGATTTTTTTACAGAGAGGAATAGAGAGTTAGAAACATCGATCAGCTGCCTCCTGCACACCCCCTATTGGGGATGTGCCCACAACCAAGGTACACACCCTTGACTGGAATCGAACCTGGGACCCTTCAGTCAGCAGGCCGATGCTCTATCCACTGAGCCAAACTGGTCAGGGCTATTACTCCCACTTTTTAGTATCCTTACCTGGTACCTTTTCTCCCAAAATGGATTGATAAAGAGCAATAAAGACATTAGCATCACAATCTTCTAGTTCATGTATCCTCAGGTGTATGTGACATTTCTGGAGAAGGTTATTGGCAACTGTTACCCACTCTGTTGGGAAAGACAGGGAAAAGTTCAGCTTTAAATACCACTAGAAAAAGTTATACATTTTTAAAACACCAATCCACACAAAACTGTCAAAGAATAGGAATTGAACTCTGTATAAGAAATTTGATTATGACAGAATTTCAAAGACCCTCCAAGGCATGATTTTTTAATGTCTTGGAATGTCTTCCAGACTGCTATAATTTCAGTGCAGTCAAAAATATGATGCAAATCCAATATTCAATGTTTGGAACCTAAAATCTTGTTATTTACAGTAGTTCCTATTTTACAAGCCATACTTCAGTGTTTTTTTTATTTAGACCATGTTTACAAGTAAATGGGAATATTATGTCCCAAACAAGACGGGTTGTTAATGATATTGAGGCTACTAGAAACTAATTAATGGATGTTGTTTCAAATTCCCAATAGCATTAGTCATAGTTTTATCCAATTATCTTGTGCAAGACAGAATTTCTCTGGTGCCCAAAAAAGTAGTGATTAACTTAGGCTGTTAAGTACTGGAGTAACGACACCAACATTAGTGCATTTGTTAGTTTTTTAATATCTGGTTTTATTAAAGAAAATATGGAAAATACACACCAAAAGTCCGTAAATTCAGAATTAGCATATTGCCAATACTGTTTAAATTTCCTGTGCACCCCTCCCCCTCCCATATTGTTGGAATTTGCAAAGTTATTTCAAAGGTTTCTCGACCAAGGTAGTTTAAAAACCTTGAAATGTGTTCCCTGAAGTGATTGGTGATTAAAGGGCAATTTATTTTATTCTGTATTCGATTACCTTCCGTATGTTCCAGACATGTGTGTGATTGTGTGTTAAAGACACATTATCTCCCTCCCTCCCGTGCCCGTTTCTCACATAGGACCAAACCATGGCAACTGGTTTGAACGCTGTCCAGGAGAAAAGGATGAAAGCGTCCTAGACAACCGAACCAGGTCGCTTTCCAGAGCGGTGCCAGACAGAGACGGCAACCCCATAGGGCGCGAAAGAGAAAACCCACAACCATCTACTTTGGCAGGGGCACCTACAGATCTGTCTTGTACGTGCCATTCCTTGTAAGTTCAGACGGAGGCACGACCTCTGTCCGCACAAGAGCAGAGGTGCTTGACAGCGGCCAGATTCCGCAGAGAAATACGAGTCCGGGGCAGAAACTTTCCGCCTGCTTTTTGCAGCCGGGATGCGGGTGTACCACGGGCCTCCTCTCCCCCGATCCCCAAATCGCACTCCCCGGCCTCCCCTCGGACAGAGAGCTGGGCTGAGAGACCCTATGCAGAGAACACGCCCACAACGACGGGAGATCGTCCCGAGCCAGACCTAGTAGAGCTGGCCGGAGGTCTCCATAGAAAGCGGGCAGGGGCGTCCGGGTCCACACAAACCCGGACTCCAGACCGAGACTCACCAGCCTCTGAGCCCGCCATGTCGCGGAGGCCGGTCGCCGCCGGACTCCGAGCTGGGCGCGCGAGGGACGGTGTCCGGGAAGGGTCGCACGGCGCCCACACCGAACCGAGAGGAGGGGAAGGAGAGGAGGGGTGAGAGGGGGAGGAACGGTAAAACGACTTCTCGCTGCTGATTGGTCTTCCGGGCACTTCCTCTCGCCGCGCGCGCCGAGGCGGCGGTTTGGAGGCCTTAGATACTATTCTCCTCGGACGAGATCGAGCTGAGGGATTCTCAGGTGGGTGGGTTTGACGGGGCGGGTCACCAACAGCCCCTGGTGGTCTCCCCGCGGCATTAGCGCGGCTTTAGCGCGGCAGGAGAGGGCACTTCCGGTGAGCTTTTCGTTTTGTGTTCCTCCGCCGACGCCAACTGAGGAAATAGTGCGGCCCTCTCACCCGGTGGGCGGGGCATCCACGTGACAATACGGGCTCCGCCTTCTCGTCGCATTTGGTTCTGGGCGTGAAGGCTCTTTGGAGACGTAAACAACTCCGAGGAGGCGGAGTGGGTTGTCTTGCGTTGGCCATTTTATCGCTTGGGTTGGACCTGAAAAAGGGTGGTGTGGCTTCCTCGAGGTGTCGAAAGACGAGGAAAAGGTGAAGTCAAGAGAGTGCCGGCTGAGGCATCGCGGTGGTGGGTGGGCCCAGGCAAGAAAGGGGCAAAAAAACGGGCGAATCTGAGGGAGGGGCTGTGGGGGGAGGGGCGAGAACATGGCGGATTCCGGAACGCCGGCGGGCGTTGCGGCCTCTGCGCAGGGGCGGGGTGATTAGGTCATAGAGCGGCTCCCAGCATCCTCTGCGGCCGAGGAGGCGGTCCAGCCTATAAAACCGGCTGCCGGGACGCGGCCGGCACCTCATTCATTTCCACCGGCCTGTAGGCGAGCAGCTCCGGCTCCTATCATCGCCGTCCTTCCGCCGCTGCCGCCCCCGCAAGGCTTCGCTGTCGCCGAAGCCTCCACCAGCGACTCGTCGCACCCGATTCTCTCCACTTCGTTCCCCGCCAACCGCAATCATTGACGCCATGTCGGGCTATTCGAGTGACCGAGACCGCGGCCGGGATCGAGGGTGAGTGTGGGAACAGACCTGTCAGGCCCGGCGGGTGGGGGATGGGAGGCCGATGAGGTAATGAGGGGTGGGCAGCGACGGGAACCTATTTTTACAACCTCATATTTGGGCCTCATCCGTCGAAGGATTGCGCCATTTCGATATTTGCCCAAAGCTGACTGAAAAATTTTTCTGTTAACGGCCGTCGACTTCGCCTTTAGTTTGGGAGGGGGCTTTGGGGCCTCGGCGATGAGGCCGCTGTGGGGAGAATTCGGAGGAACGTATTGCAAAGGGAGGGAGACGCGACGCTTCGAGGCGGGCGAAGTCGCCGCTGCTAGGTGCTACTTTCGAGAGGCGTTTTAGGGGCCCCGGGAATTCTGTGGGAGCGGAGAGGGCCGCCCCCGAAGCCATGGGTGCGGCGGGGGCAGGACCGGGGCCGGCGCCACGGGATTCGGCCATGTGGCGGGGCCGCGGGTACAAAATGCCGCTGCCGGACATGGCGGCGCCTTTGTTACCCCGCCCGGCGGAGGAGCTCAAAATGGCAGCGGCGAGAAAATGTGGCGCAGAGAGAAATGCGAGACAAAGGGGGAAGCGCCGCCCCAGCGGGAACGCCGCCCGGCCGACTCCGCCCGGGCCGCGACTCCTCCCCCGGTAGTCGCCGGCTCCTCCTTCTCTCTCTCTCTCTTTTTTTTTTTTGTTATATAATTTTGCTACCGGGATCGGGAGCCCTTCCGCGGGATTCCCCTAGTCGATTGGCTTTCCTAAGTGTCCCAGAGACCCCCGCCGTCCACGTTCTGCTCTCCTTGCCTGTTCTGGCCCGTTATTCATGAAAACCAAGGCTTCTTGGCTTGAAAACAGCTGGTAAATTATATCACCGCTAAGCTCCTCCGGTCTTGTATTGTCTCCCAGATACTTAATTCCCGAGCTCGTGGGAAAGACGTAGCCACAAGCTGTAGTCTATCCGTGTAATCTAAGCTTTTGGCCTTTGGGCAGCCAGTTTCCGACCTGATAAATCCTGGGCTATTGACTTGGCTTCTGTAGCATGTACTTAGGGCAAGGGGAAATGAAACCTGGGGTGCTAATTGTTTCAGAATCGTCGTCACTAAGGACAGCGCTCTCTCTCACAACTAAAAGTCTTTTGTTGATCTTTAGGGTGTGCCAAGCGGATGGTAGGTTGGTGTGTATACACATTGCTATGTAGACATTTGAAAGCATTAGGTTTTCTTGGTTTATTTGTTTTCTTTTTAATTTCAGGTTTGGTGCACCTCGATTTGGAGGAAGTAGGGCAGGGCCTCTATCAGGAAAGAAGTTTGGAAACCCTGGGGAGAAACTAGTTAAAAAGAAGTGGAATCTTGATGAGCTGCCCAAATTTGAGAAGAATTTTTACCAAGAACACCCTGATTTGGCCAGGCGCACAGCGGTGAGTAATTTCATGTAGCTTCATCAAGCTTACCTAAAAAATAACATAGTAAATCAAAATCAGAAAAGAAATGTCTTCCAAATGACCAAATTGTTGGAAATTCATGCTAATTTGTTGGGGAAGAAGTGTTACTCACTTTTGGGAACAGATGGCTTTGAATTTTTTCTACTTAGGATGATTGAGTATAACATAATAGGTGCTTGGTGTGTCAAATGAGGTTTTCATATGTGGATCCAGATTTAAAATGGCCATGTTGAAGTATCTAATAATTTATATACTAAGGGGTTACTAGTTGCATATTTAAGTTAGGGGAACTGTCATAAGATTTAACTAAATTGTTTGTTTTGTAGCAAGAGGTAGAGACATACAGAAGAAGCAAGGAAATTACAGTTAGAGGACACAACTGCCCAAAGCCAGTTCTGAATTTTTATGAAGCAAACTTCCCTGGTAAGTGCTAGTTTTGAGTTTTCTTTCTTTTTTAAAACCTTTCTCTTGGCAATACTAATTTTTCTAAATTGCTACTAATTGCAGCAAACATCATGGATGTGATTGCAAGACAGAACTTTACTGAACCCACTGCTATTCAAGCTCAGGGATGGCCAGTTGCCCTAAGTGGATTGGATATGGTTGGAGTAGCACAGACTGGATCTGGGAAAACATTGTCTGTAAGTTTGGAGAACTTTTGAGATGTTTGGAGGGAATGGATTGGGAATCAAAAGAAACCAGAAGTATTTTAACATACCTTCTGTTCTCTGTTACCCCTTAAATAGTATTTGCTGCCTGCCATTGTCCACATCAATCATCAGCCGTTCCTAGAGAGAGGTGATGGGCCTATTGTAAGTATATTTTTTTCTTTCAATTTTTGGCCAGAAGTTTAGTGTGGAGATCTTGTAGAATATATAACAAAGGACACAATTTGTGGTTTTATGTACAGATACTAATTATCTTACTCGATTTAGTTGGGTATTGTCATCTGTTGGTATAATAATTAGTTTAAAAGTAGGCTCCAGGATTCTGCTAAAAGCTGTTTTTACTTTTTGTTCCTCTTTAGTGCTTGGTGCTGGCACCAACTCGGGAACTGGCCCAGCAGGTGCAGCAAGTGGCTGCTGAATACTGTAGAGCATGCCGATTGAAGTCTACTTGCATCTATGGTGGTGCTCCCAAGGGACCACAAATACGAGATTTGGAGAGAGGCACGTAACAAAAAAGATTCTTTTTGTCACTTGATGCTATGAAAAGTTCTAGATGTCTTAGTCTCTGTGTTTCATTGAAGGTGTGGAAATCTGTATTGCAACACCTGGAAGACTGATTGACTTTTTAGAGTGTGGAAAAACAAATCTGAGAAGAACCACCTACCTTGTCCTTGATGAAGCAGATAGAATGCTTGATATGGGTTTCGAACCCCAAATAAGAAAGATTGTGGATCAGATAAGAGTAAGTGCCCAAACATATTTCTTCAAACTTAGCTCTAAGTTTATTCTTAGAATACAAGATTGGTTTTTGTTTGTTCTAATTCAAAATTCTTTAGCCTGACAGGCAAACCCTAATGTGGAGTGCAACTTGGCCAAAAGAAGTAAGACAGCTTGCTGAAGATTTCTTGAAAGACTATATTCATATAAACATTGGTGCACTGGAACTGAGTGCAAACCACAACATTCTTCAGATTGTGGATGTGTGTCATGATGTAGAAAAGGATGAAAAGTAAGTTATGTCTTACATAAAAACAAATGCTGTGTAAATTCAGTTCCTGTTTTATAGGTTATCTTAAAGTGACTTTCAGGTGGGTGTAACCTGGATATGTTAATTTAAAACTAGCCTGTCAGTCTTTCTAAAAATTATTGCTTTCTTCATTCAGATAATTGGCTATCACTACAGAATCCCTGTAGGAAATGGAACTCAAGTGTCCTGTGGTTTATTTAAGGGCAAAGGGTATAATTGCTTGATAAGTGATTACTAATCAGGTGTCTCCCTTTTTATTTGTAGCTATTTACATGGTGTAGCTAAAGTCACACCATGGACTTTAAAAATTGACCACCTTTTTTTTTTCTTTCAAGACTTATTCGTCTGATGGAAGAGATCATGAGTGAGAAGGAGAATAAAACCATTGTCTTTGTTGAAACCAAAAGAAGATGTGATGAACTTACTAGAAAAATGAGGAGAGACGGGTATGTGGGCTTCCTCCATTGGAGCAGATGTATTAGAGCTGAGTTTAGGGGAAGGGCAAACAGATCTTGAGTGATGGATTTGAGTTTTGTGGATGGGAATCTTGTAAGTAAAACTGTATAATGTTATTTCAGGTGAAATTGGAGGGATCTGTGACCCCCAAAATGGCTAGGTGTTAAACTAAAATCTATCAGGTTTTACTGTATATGTGAGTCTACTAATATAATTTCTCTTTAATTTAGGTGGCCTGCCATGGGTATTCATGGTGACAAGAGTCAACAGGAACGTGATTGGGTTCTAAATGGTAAGGATTTCAAATGAGGATCCCCTCCCCCACACCTAGGATTTTTCTCAGATTAATGATCATATATATACCTTGTTTTGCAGAATTCAAACATGGAAAAGCTCCTATTCTGATTGCTACAGATGTGGCTTCCAGAGGGCTAGGTTAGTACAAACTCGAATTCATGGCTTAGTTTTCTGGAAGATCTCCATACAATTTTTAAAGAAAGTTTATTGCTTTCTTTAACCTCTGCATTTTTCTAAGTTTTTTTTCATATAAAGGTGCAGTCTTTGTGGCAAGGCCTAGGCATGACAATCGGAGGACTCGAGGGGGATGGAGGACTAGTGATCGGCTGGCTGCTTCCAGTCGATTAGAGAGGTGAAAAACTGAAAGTGTGCCAGTAATCTTCAAAAGGCAGAACATACCACCTCTGCCGCATAAACTGTTCTCTCCGGGGGAAAAAAAATGGAAGTTATCCTCACAGTTCACTGCCGTGGTATTTCTTCTGTCCCATGCTTTGCATGACTGCCATGGTACTGCATTGTTTCAGACTGTTTACTGTGATCTGTGAGTCTTTGAGTTTCAGTGAGTTTGCTGAAATGTCGAAGAAATATTTCCAAACTTCAATGTTCAATGACATTTTTGTTCAAGTTTGAAATGGAGAGAGCAGCTTTAAAAGGTACTAAAAGCCTTTTACAAATTGGTGAGTACTGGCACATGAGCCTCTAGAGCAGGAACAACTTCCCACACTTAGTCAGTGGGAAAATAAAACAATGCTTTGAAAGTTCCTCCCTCACCTACACAGTAGTCGTCATGTCGAGACCTGCCAGAGAGAGAGACATTCTCAAGTGAATCCTGGCTTCTTGGAAGTGCTTGCCTAGACGAGACACAGTGCATAAAAACAACTTTTTGGGGACAGGTATGTTTTTCTTGCAGCTGCAGTTGTAAGGTCTTGGCAAGACAAGCAGTGTGGCCAGAATTTTGAACTTCTGATGAGTGTGTAATGCAAAGGACCATGTACATTTTTGTTTAAAGGTCCTCAGAATGAGCACATGAAGAGGTTGCTGTGAACCTTTAAGTGGCCCTACTGCACAGAAGCATTCAGATGTCACTTGATGACCTATACGGGGACTTACTGATTTGGGGATGTGTTAGGGAATACACATCCTTTTTACAAGTGCTATCATTGGGTGGGCAATAACACAGATGAAGTGTGCTTTTTTTTTTTTCTCCCTCTTTTTTCCCCCCCAACCTCAATGGTATTCCTTCAGGGAACGGATAACCATTTTAACTATTTTTTGCAGCCCGTACCTTCTTGGGAATACAAATGTCTAACTTTTTATTTTTGGTCTGGCTGTTGTGGTGTGCAAAACTCCATACATTGCTATTTTGCCACACTGCAACACCTTACAGATGTGGAAGATGTGAAATTTGTCATCAATTATGACTACCCTAACTCCTCAGAGGATTATATTCATCGAATTGGAAGAACTGCTCGCAGTACCAAAACAGGCACAGCATACACTTTCTTTACACCTAATAATATAAAGCAAGTGAGCGACCTTATCTCTGTGCTTCGTGAAGCTAATCAAGCAATTAATCCCAAGTTGCTTCAGTTGGTTGAAGACAGAGGTTCAGGTAAGACTATAATCTTCAATAAGAAATGTTGGTGGTTTTGTGTTTCATAATTGTCTACAGACCCATTTTTAAAAGGGATTGGCAGGTGAGTGAAACGGGTATGACACAAGTAGAAAGTGATCCTCATCTATAGTGAGAGGTACCTAATTCCTTCTGTGTTAGAAATTATTTGTGCCACAGAAATAATCAGCTTGCAATTATTTTTTCTTAACAGGTCGTTCCAGGGGTAGAGGAGGCATGAAGGATGACCGTCGGGACAGATACTCTGCAGGCAAAAGGGGTGGATTTAATACCTTTAGAGACAGGGAAAATTATGACAGGGGTTACTCTAGTCTGCTTAAGAGAGATTTTGGGGCAAAGACCCAGAATGGTGTTTACAGTGCTGCAAATTACACCAATGGGAGCTTTGGAAGTAATTTTGTGTCTGCTGGTATACAGACCAGTTTTAGGACTGGTAATCCAACAGGGACTTACCAGAATGGTTATGATAGCACTCAGCAATATGGAAGTAATGTTCCAAATATGCACAATGGTATGAACCAACAGGCATATGCATATCCTGCTACTGCAGCTGCACCTATGATTGGTTATCCAATGCCAACAGGATATTCTCAATAAGACTTTAGAAGTATATGTAAATGTCTGTTTTTCATAATTGCTCTTTATATTGTGTGTTATCAGACAAGATAGTTATTTAAGAAACATGGGAAATGCAGAAATGACTGCAGTGCAGCAGTAATTATGGTGCACTTTTTCGCTATTTAAGTTGGATATTTCTCTACATTCCTGAAACAATTTTTAGGTTTTTTTTGTACTAGAAAATGCAGGCAGTGTTTTCACAAAGTAAATGTACAGTGATTTGAAATACAATGAATGAAGGCAATGCATGGCCTTCCAATAAAAAATATTTGAAGACTGAATTAAGTGGAAATTGTACTTTATTTTACATATATAATGTCATGTAAAACTGCTTAGGTGGTCTGTTGGTTTTGTGTTGTGGTTTTTTTTTTTTAAATAAACTAAACTTTCCATAATTTAGTTTGGGGAAGTGGGGAGATCAGAAGGCCTTTGAAGTCATCTATTTATATTGCAAGAATTAAAATGAGATTTAGGTTAATTTATAATTCTAGGCTAAATTGTGTAATGGCATTCTGTCAGTACCTCCCAACATAATAAGGTGAGTCATTTAGTAGCCTATTTGTTAGAATGGTGAAATGAGATATTAAAGTAGATAGGAAATAATCAACTAACTGTATTGCCCCACCTTCAAACTGGTTAGTGTGGGAACATGGATGACTGTTCCGTTTTGCAAAATTTATTTAATAGCTCCAAAAACTTCCTTTTTTGAAGATTATATTCATGCTCTTGTCTTGTGAATTACTGAAGATAAGGTTGGCAGGAGCTGTTTTAATTTGTTTTCTTAGTGCAGATTCTAGTCTTCACAGGCTCCCAGGGACTCTTAATTACAGTCACACTGGGAGTCATTGAATGTCTTTCCAATAATCCAGGGAACTCTACAGCACTTCAAACTAAGGTCTATTCATCTTTGTACACAAAAAAAATCCTTATCAAAGTTAATGGTTAACCAAGAGGAAGTAACATAACCAAAAGCACAGTGGCTATAGTACAAGTCTTGTTAGTGTCAACATGGGTTTATTGCTAGAAAGATCCAGGAACTAGCTCTAGGTTTAACTTCAACTCACCAATATTTCTTATTACTTTGTTTCACTAATGACTAGAAGTAGGTCTGATTGTCTACCCAGAAAGTGGTATATATGTTCTTTTTGCCAGGAGAGAAGTCTTAAGACATTTAAATTCTGATTATTAAACTGAGGCTTTAATTGGTGTTAATGCCTTATCTCTGAAATAGAGTTTGTGGGGGGGAGGGAAGTATTTTTTGGACTAATACATTGAAAACTGATAAACCTTTAACAGTTTTCAATAGCATGGTAGGTCAAATTTGTAATGACAATTCATAATAAGCTTTCAGGGTAGGTTGGAATTAACATATTTTACTGTTTAATGTCTACTGTGGGCCTTTAAATTTGTAAACACTTAATTGAAATGATTGTGGGGCTGTGGGAAACATTTATCTATTTACCTTTGAAGTAAATTTTAAAAGACAGTCCACTTTTTAGCATGTGTGTTGTGTCCAGCCTGTGGTTGTCTTTAATAAATGTTTTTTTTTTCTCCCCATTCTCTCTCTGATTTATTTGCGTATAGGCCTCTTTGGTGCGTTTCTTGAGTGTGGGAAACGTACATTAATAGTGCCCAGCTTTGCAGTTAATATAATTGCTTCCTACCAATCGTTTCCATTTTCTAGTTTCTCTTTTTATAAACTTGCACACTTAACTGTATGGAATGGTAGTCTGAGGTCCTACAACACTATTGCGATGAAAAATTTTACTGTTAATTGCTAAGCTATTACACTTACAAACTGCCCCTTCCTGGTAGCTTAGTGGAACCTAGTAGTTAATTTTACATGAATTCATTTTTCAAGGTTTTCCTAACCAAACTTGAAGGGAACCTGGAGGACGGGAATCATGGGTTTGGGGATGAGCCATTTTCACCTTTTACACTTTTGGGGCAATTTTCTTAAGGGCTTTTACTGTTAAAATGGAGATTGTAAAGTTAACAGGCCTGCTAGGCAATCCTGAATCTCTGTTTTAAACTGGTGGTCGAGTTTTATTGCATGTTTTGATGAAACCTAAAAGGAACTTCTGGTAGAGCAACTTATAGGTTCTCAGTTGTAGGAACACATTCACATGCAAATTTAAAACATTGCGGAGTCCCTCAGCAGGTTAAGGTTCCCAAGTGGTGCAGATGGTACTTGGTGGGCACTGCCCTTTGAGACAGTAAAGTGACCCCACCTCTTCCCAGTTACAACCCCATTCACATCCAGGAGAGAACTGCTCTGACGGGTAGGCACGCTGGTGGTGCATTTAGAAGACCTGGGTTTCTAAGTCACCATAAAGGACTAAGACTTAAAAAATGGGAACCAACGTATATTTTCGTTAGCACTTAGATGTTCTCCACATCACCTTCTCAATCTTAAGTATTTTCACGTCTGATGCGCAAGAGAATGGAGAAGGAAAGTGAAGCTGATGGTAGCAGTGGCTACCGCACGATAGTGAAAAGCAGATGGGAATGCCCTTTATCTGTGATGAGGACATGAAAACGCTGGCTGGGAGACCTGGCTTGACGAGGGGAGAAGGGCCTGTCTGCCCGGGCGAGCGAGGTAGGCCCTGGGCGGCTGCGGCTGCCGCTGCCGCCGGAACCCTGACGTGCTTCCGTGGGCGGGGCCAGCTGCACGCAAGCTCACTTCCGACGCGGCTGCGAAGTTCCGGGTTCTTACGGTTGCGGCTGTTTGTAGGGGTTGCTAGCTAATAGACTGTGTACTTTCACTCCCGAGGGCGATGCGCTCTGGGGCAGCCGTCAGGGCCTGCCAGAAAGCCTGCAGATGCCTGTTGTCTGGTTTTGGGGGTCGAGTAGATGGGGGCCAGCCAGAGCGGTTGACGGAACGGAGTAGCCTCCTTGGAGAGCCCCCGAGGTCGCCCGCGGAGCTGCCTGGGGGGAGCGAACCAAGAGAAGCCCCAGAGTCTGGAGAGGGGAGCGAAGCGCTGGTAGAGATCTGTCAGAGAAGGCATTTCCTCAGTGGCACCCAGCGGCGGGTTAGCCGCGATTCTCTCCTGAGCGGGTGCCACGCCGGCTTTGGCCCCTTGGGCTTAGAGTTGCGGAAGAACTTGGTGGCAGAATGGTGGTCCTCCGTGGTGGTGTTCAGGGAACAGGTCTTTCCGGTAGACGCCCTCCACCATGAATCGGGCCCTTCGCTGCCCGGGGACAATGCCTTCAGGTTAGTTTCCGCAGAAACTCTACGCGAAATCCTGCAAGACAAAGAACTGAGTAAGGAACAGCTAGTAGCATTTCTTGAGAACTTATTAAAAACTTCTGGGAAACTACGGGAGAACCTTCTTCACGGTATGCTTCATGATTTCATGCTTCAAAATAGGTGTCGGGGTGGAAAGGCAATCTCGCGCGATTCTGTGAATTGCAACTGGCCCTTTACTCACGTGGAGAGGAGGTTATGTGGTTCTCACTTTTTGAGGTAGTTGGGTGTATTGACAGTGCTTCTGCGTTGGAGAAAACTGGCCATGTAATCCTTACTGTTACTTAAAGAATCTGACCGAAGGACCAACCTGGTAATGCTCTTCATTTCACAGAGCAACCCCTATAATTTTAGAGTTAATTGAGCAGCCCTAGAATTAGGACCTAAATTAAAGCCTGTATTTGAATCATTTGTTCATCGTTACTAAAATGCTTGTAAATACTTCCACGGTCACCCTTCAGTTTTACACAAAATCAAAACTCATTTTTCTAGAGCAAAAAGAAAATGCCCTTCCCTGGTTTTTCTGATCTACAATCTGTTGTTTCGAGAGTCATGTAGGCAAAATAGGACTAATCAAGCTTTACAAGTGACTTTTGAGTGGATACACAAACTTATAGGGGACCATTTGCCTTTAAAGTCAAATAGAACATGATTGCAGAGATGCTGAAAACAAAACAACTCGGGTTCTTTATAGGACCAACTTGCAGCCACAGCATCTCATCTTTGCAAAATGCTATCCTTGCCATTTTTCATTAAGTTGTACTATAAAGTAATTTAAAATAACCAATGTCCATGGTTCTCTGAAAATCAGTACCTACATTATAAATTGTTAAAGATTTCCTTAAGGGAATAAATCAAATGGAAACAAGTGTGATAATTTTTATTTACACTACTTTATTCCATGGTTTTATTTTGGGGGAGTTAAACCACTACTCATTACCATGCCCCCCCCCCCCAATCAATCTTTTCTTCCTTATTAGAAAATGAAACTTAGCTCTCTTAGATGCCCACCCATCAAAGCATCTATGTTGTGTCAGACTTTTTGTTGCCTGTAGGAAACTTAATCCATCTATTTGCCAAATCCTTTGGTTATCTAGTGTTAGAGTTACCCAGTTTGCCCTTGCTTTCTATTTCCAATAACCTTTTTTGTTTTGTTTTGTTTTAATATATTGATTTCAGAGAGGGAGAGAGAGAGAGACAGAAACATCAATGATGAGAGAGAATCATTGATTAGCTGCCTCCTACATGTCCCCCACTGGGGATCCAGCCCGCAACCCTGGAATTGCCCTGTGCATGTGCCCTGACCAGGAATTGAACCTTGACCTTCTGGTTCAGAGGTCGATGCTCAACCACTGAGTCACACTGGCTGGGCACCCTTTCTTACTTTATGATTGGTTTTTTAAAATTCTTGGCCATTATGTCTTCAAATATTTTTACTCATTCTTTTCTGCCTTTCTGTGATAATTACCATATTTTATTTTCTTTTTTATTTTATTTTTAATATATTTTATTGATTTTTTTACAGAGAGGAAGGGAGAGAGACAGAGAGTCAGAAACATCGATGAGAGAGAAACATCGATCAGCTGCCTCCTGCACACCTCCCACTGGGGATGCGCCCGCAACCAAGGCACACGCCCTCGACCGGAACCGAACCCGGGACCCTTCAGTCCGCAGGCCGGCTCTCTATCCACTGAGCCAAACCGGTTTCGGCGATAATTACCATATTTTAGTTAAACACAATCCCATTTTAAAGTCCATGTCCAGTAACTCACAATTTTCTGTTTCTACTATCTGTTTTTCTCTGGGCTTTTGGTCATTTGGACTTTCCTGATATTCTAAGTTAAGTTGTGAAAAATGGTAAAGATAAATTGAAGCTTTGAGTGGTGTTTCCTTCCTTCTGGAAGGTTTTACTTTTGCTTTTGGCAGGCAGCTAGAGTGGGAGCATATCCTCTTAATAACAATCCAGGATTAAGTTTATTTGGAGGCTGGGCTGTCTTTTCAGTCATCTCTACCTCCAGAGCAGTGGTTCTCAACCTTCCTAATGCCACGACCCTTTAATACAGTTCCTCATGTTGTGGTGACCTCCAACCATAAAATTATTTTTGTTGCTACTTCATAACTGTAATTTTGCTACTGTTATGAATCGTAATGTAAATATCTGATATGCAGGATGTATTTTCATTGTTACAAATTGAACATAATTAAAGCATAGTGATTAATCACAAAAACAATATTTAATTATATATGTGTTTTCTGATGGTCTTAGACAACCCCTATGAAAGGGTTGTTCGACCCCCAAAGGGGTCGCGACCCACAGGTTGGTGACCCACAGGTTGAGAACCGCTGCTCTAGAGTGTAGTGTCCCTAGTGAAAGGTGGGGGTATTTACCAGGGCCCCTCCTTGATGAACCAGGAACTATAATTTTATATATATATATTAGAGGCCTGGTGCATGACATTCATGCACTGGGGGTGGGGGTGGGGATTTCCCAGCCTGGCCTGCGCCCTCTCACAGTCCGGGACCCCTCTGGGGATGTCCACCTACCGGCTTAGGTCAGCTCCTTGGCTTAGAGGTCCTTAGCGCTGCTGCAGAGGTGGGAGAGGCTCCCACCACCGCTGCTGCGTTTGCCAGCTGTGAGCCTGGTTCTGGCTGAGCAGAGCTACCCCTGTGGGAATGCACTGACCACTAGGGGGCAGCTCCTGCATTGAGCGTCTGCTCCCTGGTGGTCAGTGTGCATCATAGCGACTGGTCATTCTGCTGTTTGGTTGATTTGCATGTTACCCTTTTATTATATAGGATATATATATATATTTCAGAGAGGAAGGGAGAGGGAGAGAGAGAAACATCAATGATGAGGGAGAATCATTGATCGGCTGCCTCCTGCACATCCCCTATTGGGATTGAGCCCACAACCTGGGCATGTGCCCTTGACCAGAATTGAACCCAGGACCCTTCAGTTCACAGGCCAATACTCTATCTGCTGAACCAAACCGGCTAGGGCAGGAACTATAATTTTTGTACTTTCCAATCACATAAAATGTCAGGAAGCTTTGCTCAGCTCTGCTACTTGAGAATTGGAAAAGTAGCACTGAAAGGGAAAATATGCTCTTCCCTTTTCTCCAAAATTTGGACCCTCACGTCCTTACTGCCTTGATAGTTCTCCTGTGTCTTTTTAAAAATAGATATATTTTTATTGATTTCAAAGAGGAAGGGAGAGGGAGAGAGATAGAAACGTCAATAATGAGAGAAAATCATTGATCGATTGCCTCTTGCATGCCCCTCACTGGGGATTGAGCCTGCAACCTGGGCATGTGCCCTTGACTGGAATCGAACCCGGGACCCTTCAATCCACAGGTCAATTCTCTAGCCACTGAGCCAAACCAGCTAGGGTGTTCTCCCGTGTCTTTAAACAGATTTATTTTTTTTTTAAGTTTCTGGACCAGCTATCAACAAGCTAGTGGGAATCTCAAGTAACTTTTGAACACATTCCTGTCATTTAGTGGGATATAACCTTTTATATAACTAGCATAGACAACTACAAAGAAATTTTGAACTTAGGTTTACTCTAAATAGGAATGTTGGAATTGTAACTCTGAGGCTATTTCATATATATTATGGGATAAAGCAAAGAGATTAATGTTCTTAGAAACCAGGATTTTCTCAGTAATAGAAAAGAGATGCAAATATAAAAGAAAAAAAGGAAAAAAATATAAGACGGATACATTTTGTAATGTTAAATTTGAATTGGCAATATCAGTATGAACTCAGGATTTAAAAAAAAAATTTCCTAACTTTCTTCATTGAAAGGGCCTAGAAGCAGTGACAATAGCAATGAGTACACCTAGTACCCAACGTTTGGTTTCTAAAGTAAACCAGTGCTTGGAGAAATGGCTGATTCCAGGTCCAGGGCAGGGAAAATACAAGGTGAGTTTGGGACATTTTATGGTGCTAGAAGCAAGGAATTACTTGAAGACTTGTAGGGTCATGTCAAAAGGACACATGTTGGCTTGAAGGAGACTCTCTCCCACTGGCTAAATTTGAGACAAATTGAACATTAAAGTAAATATTGATGGTAATGGATCATAACACATTAAATAAAATTTAAAATAATTAAACCATAGTGTTAATGAAAGAAATGATTGAGGCTGCTGTTGGAGGGAAAAGTAGAGAAAATTAATGTTTTTACTAGTACACAAACTGTGCAATAAATGTAGAAGGAAAGATTGATTAGAAAAATCACCATGCGCCCTAACTGGTTTGGCTCAGTGGATAGAGCGTCAGCCTACGGACTGAAAGGTCCCAGGTTCGATTCTGGTCAAGGGCATGTACCTTGGTTGCGGGCACATCCCCAGTAGGAGTTGTGCAAGAGGCAGCTGATCGATGTTTCTCTCTCATCTATGTTTCTAACTCTCTATCCCCTCTCCCTTCTTCTCTGTAAAAAAAATCAAAATATATAAAAATAAAATAACAAATAAATAAAATGACTTATTTAAAAAAAAGAAAAGAAAAATCACCTTGGTATGATTTTATAATCCCCAAAGGTATAATTGATTCAAGCAAGGATCATTAGTGGATTCTAAAATATAGGTGGAAGATTGTGGGGGAGCAGGGTTTTGTTAGGAAATGGATTACCTTAATCAAGTAATCAAATTTGTTTCATTAATAGGATAATTTGATATTTTGTTCCTCCTGTTAAGATGCACTAAGACATTCACATCGACTACGTAGTATTATTTCTGCTAAAAATAATTAACCCAAATTAAATCATAAGGAAGCAATCAGACAAATCTCTAATGTGAGATAATCTATGACTGGCTTGGACTCAAAAGTCAATGTCATTAAAAGCAAAGTTAGAGAGGGAGGAGTCAGGGGAAATGTTCTAGATTCAAAGAGGTTAAAGAGATGTGGTCAAAATGGTGTTTGAACCTTAACGGAGAAAGAGAACAGCAATAAATGACATGGGTGATAATTGGACAAAATAAGGATATTGACCATATGTTAGATGAAATTATGGTATGACTAATTTTATGGTGTAATAATGGTAACAGAAAATTAGGAGATGAATGCTGAAATATTTTGGGGGTGAACAAAAAAAGTGGCAAAATGTTGGTAATGGGTGAATGTCAGTAAAAGGTTTACAGATATTTGTTTATTGTACTATTTCAACTTCCTTGTAGATTTGAAAATCTTCAAACTGAAAAGTTGGGGGAAAGCTACCTAAAATTAAGTGGTAATTAAGATCTGCCTTAATAAATAGCTCCATGCTACTTGTACTGTTGTGTTAGCATTAATATATTATTAATTTGCCTGTGAATTGACCAGAATTATTTGGTTTTATAGAATAGATTTATATGATGATTGATTTACCTTTTGACAGGGGCCTTGGAGCACTATGTTAATTGCCTGGATCTGGTAAACAAGAGGCTGCCTTATGGCCTCGCTCAGATTGGAGTGTGTTTTCGTCCTGCTTCTGATACTAAGCAGACATCTAATGGTGTTAAAAGGTACAGAAAAAATGGCTTGTGTTTAAATAGTCAAGAATCAGTCATTTTCACTTTGAGATAGATTATATAATTTTCAAATAAGTAACTATTTGATATTTCTGATATTCAAAGAATCGGTGAGACGACGGAAGCTTCACTGGTATGGTTTACTTCAGCAAGAACTGCCAGCCAGTGGCTTGATTTCTGGTTACGTCATCGACTCCTGTGGTGGAGAAAGGTACTACAGTAATCACCCTTAATTCAATAGTTAATAAGTATGTTGTCTTAATGTGTCAGGTAATATTTCTCTTTAATAGATGAAAAGTTTTGATGGAGCTATATCATATTTATAAGATACAGCTATACTAAATCAACAAATACAAATAAAAAACTAATGATTTTCATTGTTCCATATAGCAAAGTTACTTTGGTAAAGACATCTGTTAATATTTCTCTCTTGCTCAGAAGCCTTTGTTGATAAGCTTTTACATTCAAGGTAAAGTTCACATTCCTCACCTGGCATTCCTGGCTGGTATGAATTTGACCCTTGTCCACTCGTACGGCTTTAACTTTTGTTCCCTATCTCCACGAACTCTCCATATTAGTCAAAATGGTTCTATAAATTTGTAATCAAGTTTTAGTATACGCTGAAGACGAAAGAGTTGAAGTGAGCATTTTTGTCTCCCCATTTCTCCAACTCTTAAAACCCCCAAACACCTACCTAAATTAAGTGGAATAATCACAAACAATCAAGCTCTTTACAAAAGGATAAGTATGGTACGTGATACTTCTTCATCTCACTTAGTTCTTGGTTGCCTTCCCCTCTTATTAATTAGGATAATATATATGATCATCAACAGTTTTTCTCTGTAGTTTTGATTTGGGCTCGACCATTTTTATTCAGCTGCTGCATAATAGCCTTAGGCAACTTACTTTTCAACACTTACTTTAATAAGTTAATAAGACAAATGAACTTTCTTTTTCAGTTTGCTGTGAGTCCATCTAACTTCAGCAGCAGTGACTGTCAGGATGAAGAGGGACGAAAGGGAAACAAACTTTACTACAATTTTCCCTGGGGAAAGGAGCCAATAGAAACGTTGTGGAACCTAGGAGATCAGGAACTTTTACACATGTATCCTGGAAATGTGTCTCAATTACATGTATGTATTACCTTGAACTCGTAATGTATCCTTTACCCAGATTCTCTGTGATCATTTTTGGACCATTTGAATGAAAATAAGCTGCAGACATGTGCACATGATCTCTTAATACTTCAGTATGTATTTCTCGAGTGGAAGGACACTAACCTATGTAACCACCATGCAACCATCAAAATGAGGAAAGTACTGGTAAGAGTAATTCAGGATTACCATCCCATCAGAGAACCCTTCAAATGTAACCGATTATTCCAGTATGGCCTTTATAGGTTCTGAACCTTATCAAGTCACATACTTCATACAGTTGTATATCCTTATAGTCTCCTTCAAATGAATAATTCCTTGTGTCTTTCCTTATCTCTCATGATCTTCATGTTCTTGAAGAGTACAGGCCAGTTCCTTTGTAGGATGTTCCTTAGTTTGAGTTTCTTTCATGTTTCTTCAGCCACAGAAATGGTGCTGCCCATTCATTATATCATAGAAGGCTTGTGATATAAATTGGTTATTGGCGATATTAACTTTTATCACTTGGTTAACATGTTGCTAGATGTTGCTATGCATGCTGGGTTTCTCCAATGTAAAGTTGTATTTATTAATTGATGAGTAATTAATAAGTCTTTTGTGGGCAGGTACTTCTATTTGCTTTTCACAAAATTTTGACCTACCAGTTGCAGCTTCTATTGATGATTCTTGCCCAAATCAATTATTACCACAAAGGGTTGCCAAATGGTGATTTTTAAATAATTGATTTTATCATTTCTTCTAGATTTATTGGTCAGTTTATGTTCTGATTTTATAAGTCTAAAATATGTAATTTTAAAAGATAGCTCTGCTAAATGATACTTTGTTTTTGTTCTACTTTTCTGTGAAGGGCCGAGATGGACGAAAAAATGTGGTTCCTTCTGTTTTATCTATAAATGGAGATCTAGACCGAGGCATGCTGGCTTACCTCTACGATTCTTTCCAGCTAACAGAGAACTCCTTTACAAGAAAGAAAAATCTTCATAGAAAGGTGCTTTTGATATTTCAGAGATAGACTTGGGAAACAAAAAAATATATGTTTCCCTCCTTTTTTTTAACGTTAATGTGCTTGGTTTCTAACATAAAGTCTGAAAAATGAAATTTTTTTTAGTGCAAGTAATTTGAGTATTTTTCAGTGTTTTTTTTTTGTTTTTTGTTTTTTTTAAATCTGGCTGCAGGAATAATAAGCAGGTGCTCACAGAATAGAACAAGACATTCCTATTGGGTAATTCCAAAGGCATTTCTGTTTCATCTTAGGGAACTAGACAGCTATCTCTGATTTTTAGCCTCTAAGCCTTTCCATTGATAGCTCCCATTTGCCTCAGAAGCGTTAAGTAAGAATAAATAAGACAGACAAGGTCAAAACTGTGGTATTGACCTCTGCTTCTGGTCTGATCCTGAGTGGCTGATCACTGGATCATAGGGATTAGATATGGGCCTGGGTTAAGGGAAAGGCTTATTTTAGGACAAACAATTTTTTGGGGGCGGGATCAAATCAAGAGGCAGGAGGGGGGGGGGAATCAAATCAAGAGGCAGGAGGGGTTAATGCTATAGGAAAGAAATTACTAAAGAGTAAGATTTGGGGAGTCAGTGGGGGAAAAAAGAACATCTGCAATACTTTCAATAATAAAGATATGAATTTTTTTTAAGAAGTAAAATTTTGGAAGAAACAGGAAGAATCAAGACAGAATCAAGAGTATAGGTGGAGGGATTTGAAAAGGAGTTATTTGAAACAGGGAGGAAAGAAATGATGGTATAGATATAAATAGGCTACCAGGACTGGTTAGCCTTTGCAGGAAGTTTTATTCATACACTGTATTTTCTTAGGGAATTAGGAGGCAAGTATTTGCTTAAAATGTGGAGGAGTAGGGATTTAAGTGGCAAGAGTTTAGAATAGTTATATTCCCCTTGAATGTGAAAGGCAGCTGTCCCAAATCAAAAGTTTTAACATGTTGAGTGTTCAACTGGATTTGGAAACTGAGTTTGTAGCACCACTCTGTAGTTAAGTGATTGATTATGCAGTGCTCAGTTAACCTATGGCCATAAGTCAGATTATGAAACTGCTATGGGGGATGGGATTTATAGGGTGTCTGTAGCATACAAACAAGGTGAATCCTTTCTCTTATACCCATCAAACCATCAGCAAAACCTATTTGACTTTGCCTTCAAAATATATCCTGAATCTGACCATTTCTTCCCACCTCCACTCTTTCTAAGTGATAAGTCCATATGGCCCCAGCTGAGTGGGAAAACGATGCCAGGAGGCATTTTGGCTGACAAAAAATAGAGTTGTCAGGAAAATGGGCGGGTATCAGGTGAACTCATTTCTGCAGAACATCTGGAGAAATCCATGAGCAGCTGGATATACACAACTGAAGACATTGTTACAGGTTTTTGTGCGGCCCCAGCTAGCTTCTATTTTCACACAGAAAATTTTACTGTTTAAGAAGCCCATGTTTGTTAGTGCTTGTATTTTACTTAAGATGTGTTGTTCTCCCACCTCTTTCATTTGCTTTAGGTACTTAAGCTTCACCCTTGTCTAGCCCCTATTAAGGTTGCTTTGGATATGGGAAAAGGCCCAACAGTGGAACTAAGACAGGTGGGTTAAATGAGTTCTGATGTCATTTTAATTATAACCATTATTTCAAGTAAATGAGTTTGCCATTTAGAATTTTATTTTGATTCATCTACTTTTTAAAAAATTATTTTTCTTCAAGTAGGACACTTTTGATTGTCACAGTGGGGAAAGGTGCTACTGGAATCGATCTAATGGAGGCCAGGGATGCTTCTAAACATGTCAGCAGAGCCAAATGGTAGAAATCCTACTCTAATGTTTTAGCTCTAGATTGTTAAGGGTGTTTAAAAAAACACACACAAAAACAACACTTTTTTTTTGTTAATCCTCACAGGAGGATATTTTTTTTTCCCATTGTTTTTTCAGGGAGGGTGAAAGGGAGAGAGGGAGGGAGGAAAGGAGGGGGAGAGAGGAAGAAAGAGAGAAACATTGATGTGAGAGAGACACATTGACTGGTTGCCTCCTGAACCCACAACCCAGGCATATGCCCTTGACTGGAAATTGAACAGGAGACCTTTGGGTGCTTGTCCGATGCTCCAACCACTAAATAACACTGGCCAGGGCCGGGGCTTTTAAAACTTTGCTTCATTTTGCTTCACCATTGCTTGTTAAGAAAACAGTAAATTTACTATGTCATTGACTCATTATTATGTGTGTATTTTCAGTCAGGCTTTTGTCTCCAGCATTCCACTGTAACTAATCAATCATCTTTTCTTTTCGAAGCATTTTCTTTAGTTTGCTCCAAGAATACTACTCTCGAAGTTGTCCTCATACTTCTCTGGTGGCTTCTCCTTAGTTTCCTTTCCTGGCTCTTTTTTCTCTTGCTGACATGATAGTAAAAACTTTCGGGCTCAGTTTCTCAACTCAGATGACTTTAGAGTGGACATAGATAGCCCTTTGGACTTATGTTTTTCTCTGACAAAACCTGTTTTGGTTTTATTTGTGTTTTGAATGATGATGATAAAAATTCTTACATTTGGTATAAAATTTTCTCTCAGAAGATTTGCATTTAATATTCATCTTTGCAGTGCTTGATTTCTTCATTTTCAGAGAAAGTATACACTTTTAAGTGTACAGTATATAAATTAGCAATATTATCACATAATTAAAGGAATTTATGCCCATTTTTAAGATTGAAAAAGGTGACTTGTGGTTTCAAAAAAATAGAATAATCACTCTAGCTACTTTTATTTCTTTCATATTTGAATTTTTTCCCCCAGGTTTGTCAAGGGCTGTTTAATGAATTACTAGAAAGTGGAATTTCTGTGTGGCCTGGTTATTTGGAAACTGCACAATCCTCATTGGAACAACTTTATTCAAAGTAAGAATTGTCTTCTTTTGATAAAACAGTATTTTTTTTCAGAGTTGTTTTTTTAGATGTTTCTTCTTTATTTTATAAACATATCTTTATATAATGTAACTTGAAAGTATTCCTAATTTTCCCATTTACCGAACCACATGCCCATAGTTAATTGCTACAGCAGGAAACACTCTTCATCAGGCATACTTGAGTACATACCATGTGCAACTTCAAGACTTAATGTCATGAAGTATGTATACCTGAGTTTATCAATTTATCAGGATTGGAATTATGTACATTGGATGCATTTATTGAATAGAGTGCCTTTTCCTGGAGTTGTGGTTTATTTTGAGGTTGAGTGGAAAATAATTCCATCCCAGAGGACAGAAAACTAGTCTCCTCAGTGATTGGCATCTCTGTTTACCTGGTCGCTCAAGATTAAAACCCAGGTGTCATCCTTAGCTCCTCCCCCTCCCTTATTCTCCACATCCATTTCGTCACTAAATGTTGCTCCCTGCTTCTTAGATACATTTCAAATCCACATCTCTCCATCTTCACTGCTACTACCCAAGTGAAGGTCACCAATATCTTTTGCCTGGATTATTGAAGTAATCTCCTAATTGACCTTCCTGTCTCTAGTTTTAAAACTTCTGTTTTTTAATAAAGGAATTCATTCTTTCCTCTGGATTTATTTTGTGATTTTATGTAGCTTTTTGTGTTGAATACATACCTTTTGGGTGAAAAGTTGTCAAACTTTGTGTTTTTCTCCTTAGTTCTCTAATAATTGGTTAAAATACACCTTTCAGATGATGTAAAAAGAAAACTAGGTTGCTATGGGTAAGATAAACCAAAATGAAGGGATGGTATTTAAACTTTTTAGTCCTCTCGGTTCTAGAATCATATCCTTTGAGTCATGTGGACGTTATCAAATTATAGTTTTTCTTGATACAGTAAAGGCTTTATTGTTTTTGGATATTTTTATCCAAATATTTATTAAGCACTTAGTGTGTTTTCTGTACTTTGATATAGCAATAAAAAAGGCAGAGAAGTTTCCTGTTCTTATGCAGCTTATATTCTAGTGGGATAGACAATAAACAAGTAAATAGATAAATAAGGTAATGTTGATAAGAGTCTAACAAAGCAAAGAAACAATGAGATAGTGTGACTGGCTAAAAAGCTATTAGCCTACAAAGTTACATATCAAGCATGATTTTGGTATGATATATTGTGCACTGGACTTTTATTATGGTAGCATTATAAGAGACTTTCATCTAAAACAATTTTCTTGGACTGCATTAAAGTACCAAAAGGCGGAGGTTATTCTGAGGTTTACCCATAATATCACCCCAAATGGTATTTTGATTATTTCTCAGATTTTATTTTCTTTTTATGACTTTTCAGCTATTACAATAAGTCAGAAACTTTCTGAAAATTTTACTTTGAATGCGATTCAGAAACTTGAAAAGGGTGGTTTTGGTCTAGCCCTCCGGCATTGCTTTGAGTTTCGTGACCCTGAAAGTGGCATGGGTTCTAAAGTAATTAAAGCTGCTAATGTGGTGCATTTACAATTTATGTTTGTGTGCATGTATTTTGTTTAACTACCTTTTTTCTTAGATATGATGAAATGAGTATCCTCTTCACAGTTTTGATTACTGATGCTACTTTGGAGAATGGATTAATACATCTGAGAAGTAGAGACACCACTATGAAGGAAATGATGCATATATCCAAAGTAAAAGACTTTTTAACCAAGTATATATCATCAGCTAAGAATGTATAAATTTCAATATTGGTGTAATAAATGTTTGTGTTTTTTAATTTGGGTGTCATATTAATTTATTGAAATTGGTTGTTAGCTCTCTTATCCTATAGATTCATTCCCGCCCCCCCACCCCCTCAGAATTGGATTATTATTGGTTTTTTTACTGTTTGGATTTTATTTATTACATCCCCAGGATGTAGTTTATTTAACCTGTTCCTCTAGATTGGAAATTGAATCCAGCGGCTTGATCAGCTTTTAAGTTCAATTTTTGTGGCAAGATTATTTAGGTTGTTGTGATCTCCCATCAGGAGTCATTAATGTCTGGTTGTTTCTTTTTTTTTTTTCTTTTTAATATATTTTATTGATTTTTTTTTACAGAGAGGAAGGGAGAGGGAGAGGGATAGCGAGTTAGAAACATCGATGAGAAACATCGATTCAGCTGCCTCTTGCACGCCCCCTACTGGGGATGTGCCCGCAACCCAGGTACATGCCCTTGACCGGAATCGAACCTGGGACCCTTGAGTCTGCAGGCCCATGCTCTATCCGCTGAGCCAAACCAGCTAGGGCTGGTTGTTTCTTCTGAGGGGATGCTAGCAGTCATTGATCAATGCCTAGATCAGTCAGTTCATTAGAGATGGCAAAGTGGTGATATTCTGATTCTGTCTTCTTTTGTTGGCTAGAATCCTATTTAATAAAAGGCTGATGTGCAAATCGACCGAATGGCGGAATGACTGGTCATTCTGACGTGCACTGACCACCAGGGGGCAGATGCTCAATGCAGGAGCTGCCCCCTGGTGATCAGTGTGCTCCCACAGGGGGAGCGCTGCTCAGCCAGAAGCCCTGAGCCAGGCTCACAGCTGGCGAGCCTCTCCCGCTTCTGCAGCAGCACCAAGGACATCCCCCAAGGGCTCCTGAACTGTCAGAGGGTGCAGGGCGCAGGCCGGGCTGAGGAACCTCCCGAGTGCACGAATCCCGTTTACCGGGCCTCTAGTCCTATATAATAAAAGACTAATATGCAAATTGTCCCTACGGGTGGGAGTTCAACCTACCTGGGAGTTAGATGTGTGGTGACCACCAGGGGGCAGTGCGGAACATAGTGGATGTCAGCAACACAGTGCTGGCAGTGGAGGTGCTGCCGCCCCGATGAGAGCGGGACTGGGGCAGATCGGTGGAGCAGGTGAGCGGGTGGTGCCAGGCCAAGGTGGGTGCGAAGGGAGGCCCCGGCTGGCAGCCAGCAGCTGGCAGCTGCTAGGGACTGTAACCATGCACGAATTTTGTGCACTGGGCCTCTAGTAATTCTGTAAAGGAAAATGTTTCATCTACTGTTTGCTTAGACTGCAGTGGTTCTCAACCTATGGATCGCAACCCCTTTGGGGGTTGAACGACCCTTTCACAGGGGTCGCCTAAGACCATTGGAAAACACATATATAATTACATATTGTTTTTGTGATTAATCACTATGCTTTAATTATGTTCAATTTGTAACAATGAAATTGGGGGTCACCCCAACATGAGGAACTGTAATAAAGGGTCGTGGCATTAGGAAGGTTGAGAACCACTGGCTTAGAGGTATGGAAAAGGTTTGGGATAAATGTTGGATTCATCACCTTTAAAGTTAATTTTTTGGATGCTAAATTGGATGCCTTTTCAGTGTTTAGAGCTAGCAAACATATCTGTGTGTGCGTGTGTGTGTGTGTGTGTGTGTGTGTGTGTATTTCCCCACAAATGAAAAAATTAATGAATTCACACTGATATTTTCTTACTTTCTTTTTTTTTTTAATCCTCACCCAAGGATATTTTTCCATTGATTTTTAGAGAGAGTTGAAGAGAGAAGGAAAGACAGAAATATCGATGTGAGAGAAACACCTCGATTGGTTGCCTCCTGCACATGCCCCAACCAGGGAGGAGCCTGTAATCATAGTATGTGTTCTTGACTGGAATCGAACCCGGGACCCTTTGGTCCGCAGGCCGGCGCTCTATCCACTGAGCCAAAACAGCTAAGGCCACACTGATATTTTCAATTTAAATTCAGGATTGCAAAATGTGTGTGTTTTTTAATCAACTTTATTAATATATAATTTACATACAATAAATTGACCTATTTTGAAGGTACAAATACAGGTTTTGAGAAATGTGTATCCACCACCATAATGACAATATAGAACATTTCCATCACTGAGAAAAAGTCCCTTCGTGCCCCTTTAGCACTTTAGGGCTTTTACTTAACCTTCTATCATATGTTGTATCTCCTCTCGTGGCAAGAATCCCAGTTCTCAAGAATAGTGAGGATACTGGAATGCCATGCCATGCTCATTTGCTTTGTCTTATAGTAATCACAGCAGTCTCAGAATTGAAAGACCAATATTACCATCATATGTCTATCTAAAATTTTCAATTTTATTTTTGTAGTTTGGGGTTCAATACTTTGTTTTAATGTAACTATGAGAAACTTAAAAGTTTATTTTTTACAAGTGATTTTTCTGAAGAAAATCTTAGTTCTCCCCAAAGGTACTTTTATTCAGATACTTTGTCTTAGGGACTTTAGCCTTCACAGGAGGATTGTATTCATGGTGTCTGATCATAGAATGCTATAACAGGCAACATAGAACCACTTTGGAAAATAGTGTGGCCCTAGCCAGTTTGGCTCAGTGGCTAGAGCATCGGCCTGCAAACTGAAAGGTCCCAGGTTTGATTCCAGTCAAGGGCACATGCCCGGGTTGTGGGCTCGATCCCCAGTAGGGGACTTGCAGGAGGCAGCCAATTCGATTCATGATTCTTTCTCATCATGGATGTTTCTATCTCTCTCTCCCTCTTCTTCCTCTCTGAAATCAATACAAATATTTTTTTAAAAAAAGACAAATCTGTCTCTATCAAAAAGCACCTCATGTGTGCATTCCAAATAAAATTAATAAAGATGAATATTAAAATCCAACAATGCTCTAATTAAAAGTTTAAAAAAAAGAAAGAAAATAGTGTGGTTTTGTCTGCTTATACTGGAGATAAACATACCTCATGACCCATTCGTACGTATATTCAACATGATTGCATGCGCATGGGAACCAGGAGACATGCATAAGAGTAGTCATAGCCTCATTTTTTATCTTTTTAAAAAAATATATCTTTTTATGGATTTCAGAGAGGGGAGAGGGAGAGAGAGAGAAACATCAATGATGAGAGAGAATCATTGATCAGCTGCCTCCTGCACGCCCCCTACTGGGGATTGAACCCGAAACCCAGGCATGTACCCTGATGAGGAATCAAACCGTGACTTCCTGATTCACAGGTCAACGCTCAACCACTGAGCCACGCCAACCAGGCATAGCCCCGTTATTTGTAACAGCCCCAAACTCACAATCACCTAAATATCCCATAAAAGAGTAGTAGTTAAGTTGGGGAGGTGAGGTTGTGATTGGGAAGAGACCTGCCAAGGGTTTCTGGGATGCTGGTGACATTTCATCACTAGTGTTCACTTGATATAATTTATTAAACTGCATATATATTTTTATTCATCTCCATATAATGTGTGCTGTATTTCACAACAAAAAAATATTAAAAAGATTGGTGGATTTGTAAAAGAATCAAAGTGAAACTTCTGGAAATGGGAAAAAGTAGATACTGAAATGAAAATCCAGTAGGTTCTCCTCTTCCTTTTCTTCTTCCCTTCCTACACAATTCAATCCAGAAGCCATGGTGGGTGGCACATGGCAGGGGTTGCTGATGTCTGTGCAGGGCTGAGGTGGAGCTGGGGGAAGAGGGGATTTTGAGGATTACATGAGGATAAGTACAAAAAGCACTGAAGTACCTGGAACCTGCTACATGCTCAACACATGATAGTTATTGTCCTTATAGTTGTTTGAGAGATTGCATAACAGCCACCTCTGTGTCCTGTGTCACATCCTCTGGGCCTCACCTCTTACTCCAGCTGCATCTGCGACTTCACTCACTTTGTGTTGACAGTTTCATGCTTCAAGTGTACAACACATACCACTCATTTTCTGCCCTGGGGCTTCCCAGTGTCCTGGGTGAGACACTAATGGAAGACTGTTTGGAATGCCCACATGTATAGTCCAGAAGTCAGACCGGGGGGGCAGGGGTAGTGGGTGCCTCACCTCCTGGGGTGGCCCTCAGCCAATGGATACATGCTTCTCACTATGTTCCTCAAGTGGACAATTCTGAGAGACACCTTTTTCATTCCTCAGCAGGTTCCAGTGGGATCAAGCCCCAGTGGCCCACAGCAGTGCTCAACACAGCAATACATCCTTGGACTGGCTTTTCCTCCAGTCCCTCATGCCTGTTTCCTCACAAATTATTTGCCCGAAAGGTCTTTTTAAAAAATATATTTTTATTGATTTTTATTGATCAAGGAAGGGAGAGAAACATTGATAAGAGAGGGAAACATCGATTAGATGCCTCCTACACACCCCCTTACCGAGGATTGAGCCCGCAACCGGGGCATGTGCCCTGACTGGGAATCGAACCAGCAACATCTTAATCCTTGGGATAATGCTTAACCAACTGAGCAACACTGGCCAGGGCTTGCCAGAAGATCTTATCTCAGGTTCTGCTTTCAGGGCTAGCCCAGGATAAGACAGGGTATTAGAAGGTCCTAGAAATCAGCCCTGGGAAAGGGAATTACTTCCTGGATGGAAGTGAGGGGAGTGCTGATAACCCTTACACACCATAGCTTCATACTTACTAAGATTTTCCACTGCAGAGGTAGATAGTGAGCACTAGGTTATGCAATAGTTCTAGCACTTGGAAGACACAGGGCATTGGTAATTATATGGATGGTGGTGTTGGTTGGCTTTACTAACTGCTTTAGAAGCTTTGCAAGGAGAAAATGAGAGGCTATTGATAGTTTGAGGACAAGCTGTGGAACCCAGCAGCATTCTGCACTTCAAGACCTTGGGAGGTCTAGATAGGACCAAATCCAGTTACCAGTATGGTCACTCATTTGCTAGCCCCTCCCTACCCTTTTTTTTTTTATTGT